CCGACCAGCCGCAGGCTGGGGACACGGGCTGCAAGGGGCATCCCCTCCATCTGCCCTCCCACCGCAGCAGAGCCACGGCTGAGTTTTAGCCCTGCACCTCCAAATTGGCATTCGCAGCACCGGAGCTGCCGGAGCATCTCCCAGGGAGCGGGTCCCGGCTCCGTGCACAGACACAACAAGCAGAAAATGACCTCAATTTTTAAAACAAACACCCTTGGAAATTTCACCCTAAAGGAATGCGGCGTTGGAGGTAAATGATCCAGAGTTCAGGGGCGTCCTGCTCGAGGGGATGCTGCCCGAGCAGCGGGTCGCAGCAGTCAATCTCCAAGGGCCCTTCCAACCTCAACCATCCTCTTTTTCATTGATCCGAAAGCCCAAAGCTCATCGTCAGCGTTTATATATCCCTTACGCACACCCCCATATAATTATTTGTAGATATGTATTAAATTAGACAGAGATACGAGGGCAAAAAAGTGGTCTACAAGCAAGCAGAGAAATTAACTCTTTGCTGCTCAGCAGTACGAACGGCTCCAAAAAGGACTGTGCACCCAAATCGGCCTCACTGAGTGTGTCTGGGCACGCTCTGCCTACCCGAGCCTGCCGCACGCCTGTGCAAACCCGTCCTGCAACAGAGGGCTGCGCCTCAAAACCCAGATTTCAGCCCCAAATCCTGCCTCGATTTCCCAGGGACAGCGGGCAAGCACGGGCAGCCAGCCCAGTCTCTCCCGCCGCCTGCACCGCTCTGCCGGAGCATGGCAGAAGCCGCAAGGCAAACCTGCCTAAGACCACAACCTGCTTGCAAAGCAAAGGTGAAAACACCTCTAAAGATACACCCAACAACTCCTGCTCAAAAATCTGCAGCTGGAGCGACATTCCCAGCTTCACCTGCATCGCTCCCACCCCAGTGATTCTGCAGGGGGAAGACGCAGAATGAGGAGGGGAGCTGAAAATGGCCCTGAGGCCCCAGGAGTGCCTGGCTGCAGCCAAGCTCCGCTGTAGCACAGACAAGGAAAAACTACGTGGGGAGTGAGAAAAAGCAGAAATATCCATTGCTTTTCTTTCTTTTTTTTTTTTTAAATCACAAAGGTGTCCGTCCCTCCCTGAGTGGCTCTCAGACATGATCTGCTGACAGATTAGCGGGCGGCCGTCTTTAGAAAGAAATTAGGCTTTCTCTGCCGGCACACGGAGAGCGAGCTGAACAGCCGCCAACTTCAGGAGGAGCCATTTCACAGAGGGGGATTTGGTGCTGATTTTCTCCTCTGCATCCTCTCTCCTTCCCCGAACTAGCCACCCACATCACCACGACTCGGAAGATGCCGGGAAAACGCTCCTTGGGTTTTCCTTCTGCCTTTGCAGATCGCTCGCAAGCGCCCGACATCGCAGCATCCGTCTGGTGGCAAGTCCCACGCGGAGGTCGGTTTCGCAAAAGTGAATTTAAGTCTTTTTCCAGCGCTACAGGGTTGGGAGTGATGGGATGGAGATGGTGGAAGGAGGACTGCAAGGGGGATGGGGCTTGGGGTGGATCACCCTGCTCCCTCCCTGGCGCAGGAGGGAGCAGGGTGGTCCACCCCAAACCATGGTGAGGAAAAGTGCCACCAGGTTCCACGCTCACGCCATCCCCAAGCATCTGGGGAGCCCACCCGCCCCCGGAGAGCCAGCATCCTTCCCGCAGCCGCTTCCCTTATTTGGTGCTCAGGAGCTCGGATCCTGTACGGTTTCCAAGAAGTTGCCATGGTGATGAAATGTAACCCAGAATGATGTTTTGCTGGCTCTCCGCCTCGTCCCTCTCCTGAACCCAGCCTGGGCTTAGCGTTGTGCTGGGGATGGAGTGATTGTCCCCGCTCTGCTGCACCAGCTCGCTGGGGTGTCCCAAACGTAGCAGCCCCCTCCCTGGGGCTCGAGGACGGGCAACTCATCACACATCAGCTCTCGGCCACAGAAGGTGAAGGCATCTTCCCCAGAGCATCACCCCAGCCAGCACTGGAGGGGCTGTGGCGACCCCAGCCCTTGGCAGGGGGTGGCTCAGACTTCCAGCCTGATGTGCAACAAAGGCTCATCTAACCCTGCAATTTTTTTTCCCATCACCCAGAACCTCTTTATCCGGCGGTGGAAACCTGATTCAAACAAACACCACCCAAAACCCACCCACAGCCTGGTTTGCACCAGGACTATGCCGGTGACTTCTTCAAAGGGGACCTGAAAACCGGGGCTCGGGGGAGCCCCAATGCTGTTTCCAGCCCCCCAGCGCCACATCCCGGCTCGGCCAGAGGAGCCCTCCCAGCCGGTCCCCCGCAGCGGTGGGACACGCACCCAGAGGGCAGGC